GTTTCTTTTGTGTTTCATAACCCCTTTAATTTTTTTTTTTTTTTTTTTGTAATTTGTGCTGTGAGACCATGAGTGACAGGATCTCTCATTTGTACTGCTGTTCAAAGAGCTTTGTCTGTAGTATCTGTAGACACTTACGGCAGGTGCCAGGGGAACCAGGGGAATTTCCCCTTTGTAAACTGTTTAAAGTTTAGATCCAGATAATACAGTCATAGGCTGGGAAGCTTCTTCTCCTCTGCTTTTGTGATTTGAATGGTTATTTCCTAAATATATTGAGGATCTGTTGGCAACCCTGGTATGTAGGTCTGGGATAGCCATTTCCAGCTTGGTTCTATGAATGTCTGAAATCTCACCATCTTACTGTATAGTTTTGATTTGTTGAAATTACTCTGGGTTCTTGGTTAACTGAAGAACTAAAGTCTTTCAGTCATTTTGAGTCATACTGTGTCCATTAGGCCTTTCAGACTTTTTCAAAGCAGTAAATTTTTAATTTGGATCATGTCTTCTTTTAAAGCTGTTTGCCTTGTGTGGCAAACCATGTCTTACGATGTGGGTCATACTGATAATTAGAGATCGGGGTCTGATTTTATTAGGTATGCATTAACACAGTGAGTTCCAGCCACCAGGCTCTGAAATCTCTCCTTAGCCTCTGGAGATCAGAAAGCAGTGATTTTTAGGGACATTTAGGCTGGCTTCTGGATTTCCAAACCCTCACCTCCTTAGGTGTTCTCTGAAGAACCAAGATTGTCCTGTGGACTGTTAAAGAAATCTGAAGACCAGGTGGATTAGAAGACCTCTTGTGGCAAACAGTAACGTTTCTTCTTTGAAATGCTCACTGTGAGATTTTTAGGAAATTTTTTTTGTTCTGTGAAGCTAAACCTTAATTCTGTTTCAGACGGAATTTCTGTTAATTCTATCCTGAAGGACTAGGCATTAATTGGTGTTGATCATAGAATCTTAGAATCGTCTAGGTTGGAAGGGACCTTAAAGATCATCTAGTCCAACCATCAACCTAACTCTGACAAAAAAAAAACAAACAAATAAGTAATAAAAAAATCACTAAACCATATTCCTGAGGACCATGTCTACCTGTCTTTTGAACACCTTCAGGGATGGTGCCTCAACCACTTCCCTGGGCAGCCTATTCCAATGCTTGATAACCCTTTCCATGAAGAAATGTTTCCCAATATCCAATCTAAACCTCCCCTGGTGCAACTTGAGGCCATTTCCCCTTGTTCTGTCTCCTGTGACTTGGGACACGAGACCGACCCCCGCCGCTCTACACCCCCCCTTCAGGTAGTTGTAGAGTGCGATAAGGTCTCCCCTCAGCCGCCTCTTGTTCAGACTGAACACCTCCAGCTCCCTCAGCCTCTCCTCATAAGACTTACTCTCCAGACCCCTCACCAGCTTTGTTGCCCTTCTCTGGACCCGCTCCAGCACCTCAATGTCTTTTTTGTGGTAAGGGGCCCAAAACTGGACAGAGCACTTGAGGTGGGGCCTCACCAGTGTCCAGTACAGGGGGACGATCACCTCTTGGGTCCTACTCCCCACGCTGTTCCTGATACAGGCCAGGATGCTGTTGGCCTTCTTGGCCACCTGGGCACACTGCTGGCTCATGTTCAGCCGACAGTTGACCAACACCCCCAGGTCCTTTTCTGCCAGGCAGCTCTCCAGCCATTCTTTCCCAAGCCTGTAGCACTGCCTGGGGTTAGTGTGACCCAAGTGCAGGACCTGGCACTTGGCCTTATTGAAACTCATCCCGTTGGTCTCAGCCCATCGATCCAGCCTGTCCAGATCCCTCTGCAGAGCCTCTCTACCCTCCAGCAGGTCGACACTCCCACCCAGCTTGGTATCGTCTGCGAACTTACTGAGGGTGCACTCGATCCCCTCGTCCAGATCATTGATGAAGATGTTAAAGAGAACGGGTCCCAGTACTGAGCCCTGTGGGACATCACTCGTGACCGGCCGCCAACTGGATTTGACTCCGTTCACCACCACTCTCTGGGCCTGGCCCTCCAGCCAGTTTGTAACCCAGTGGAGAGTATTCCCATCTAAGCCATGAGCAGCCAGTTTCTCCAGGAGGCTTAAACAGTAGCAAGTGAAATCAATGCAGTTTTGACTCTTCATTTTTGTTAGGCTTAGAGAAGCTTTCATAATTGGATTAGGTTTAAATTTTATTGCCTGTTACTGTGCTCACATGGATCTTGTCTATGGGGCAGTATAATTAAATGCCCAATTCCTCTTTGTGGTGTAGAAAAGGCATTGAAACTTTATAGTAGAATGGAATAAGATGAAGCAAGAGATGCTAATTGAACTCTTGCACGTACATAAAGAATGTACAGGTGATGCTATTGTTATTTTTGTACCTAGAGAGAGCCGGTTTGAAACCTTTGTGGTCAGTGCTCTTTTTTTTTTGTGTGCAACCAGGCTAATGTGAACAGATTGTATGGGCAGATTTGGAAGGCAGGTGTTCACATCATAAAACCACTGCTGTAATTGCCATGGTGTGCTGTGCCATTCTCAAGTGAAAAGGTCAAAAGTAAATGGACACAAACTAACTTTTACCTGTATTAGTGGTTCTTTGAGGTCATTTTCTGGCATGCTAATGGTTTAGTATGGGGAAAGTTGCTCAGTGATGACAGATAATCTATTTTACCTTCTTTCTCATAGAAACAAACCTGTTCTTTCACAACATGTAGCATCAAGTTTTCAGTCGCCTCAGTTTGTGTTCCAGTTTTGAATGTTTGAAACCCCTTGGTTGCAAGTCTAGGAACCACCTTTTCACAACTGTGCTTCCTTGCTGCAGCATTTTGCTTTTTCATAAGTTCGATAGCTTTATCAGTCAGTCTCTCTTCAGACTTAAAATTATGGTGTGTGTTGGCTAAATGCACGTTTTCCCCTACTAGTCCACAGGAAGTAAGAATGTAGTTATTGTTTTGGCTTGTCTGCTAATATCTCAATTCAGGTGATATGGTTGGCTTTGCTCCTCAGACTTGGATATCACAAGGTCTGTGTCCCAAGTGAAAACACACCTCCTGAAGGGGGATTTGTGGGTAGAGAGGAGGTAAGCTATTTCTTGTACAGCTCTGACTGCTTGCTCAGATGGCCATCACCTGCACACAGGCATACGCAGACTTATATTTCAGATGCAAAATACATGAAACTTCTGACTTAAGAACACATTCCTGAGTCACTTAAGCTTGTTCTTTATATAGTATATAATTTGTTTTGGAGTTAGAAGTGTGTCTTCCCGTTACCCACTCTGATGATGATGTTCTTGAACAGCTGCATTTGGGGTTTTGCTTTACTTCATGAAGCTTCAAAAAGAAATGTACAAAGTATAAGTGATTTTCAACATGCACAATGGAAAAGGGAGTGGGCTATTTCAAGAGATTAAAGAAATTCTATTTCTTTTTTTTTTCCTTTATCACAGATGCCCGAGATGTAGAGCAATTGAGTAAGAATAACATTACGCACATTCTTTCAATCCATGACAGTGCCCGCCCTATGCTTGAGGTAAGAGGGATGGGGGACTCCATGGTAAATCCTTACTTTGCAGTTGACTGTTATAAGCATCTTTGGGTTAATTACTTGCTCTGTAACATTGGTATTTGAGACTGACTTTCTTGTGGAAATGATTGACAGCTGTAGTTTTTGGGATCCAGTCACAGATTTTGTTATTGCTTCTGTTACAACAACAAGAAATCTTAGTTGGCAAAGGAAGAGACATTTATAGTGTCAATCAATATAATGCAATAATGGGATTGTTTTCTTAATTTAATAATAAAGGTAAGTTTCCTTCTGTGTGGAGTTCAAGCATCACATAAATAATAACATTCCTTCTCCCCCTTCCCCATGACCAACCCTTCTTTGTACCTGAGCTCCTTTCTTGATTCTAGCAGATGATTGTGTAAGAGTTTTGCAGTCCTTTTCTGTGTAAAATAGCCTTATTTAGGCTTGGGGTGTGGGAGGAACCAGTGTTCACTCCTATAATTCATCTAATATAGCAGAGCACCTTTAGGTCTCCAATAATCTACCATGAAGTAGTATTCCCCATTTTACTGAAGGGAAGATGATCTGAACAGCTGAAATGACTGGATTTGTTGTGTCATCTTGAACAGTGAAAGAGCTGGGACCAAGCTGCAAGTCTCCTATGTTGGCCTCATGTGCTTTCTTCTTTACATCACCTTACCTTTGAAGGAGGGGAGTTTGACTGGGCTTTGCTACACCTTAAAATCCTCCTATTTGATTTATGTTGGGAACTGTTGTCCCCTTAAATTTCTTCATTCCCTGCATTCTACTTTTCTTGAAATACAGCAAAATAGCAGGTAAGGCAGTTGCTGGTGTTACCCCTCAGATGCTGCTGGGAATCTCTGCTTTTCATTCTCTTAATGTAAAAAGTATCTAGTAAATTCAGTCCTTAAACTACAGAATTTCCACCTCTCCCAGGCAAGTCAATAGGTAAGCTGAGCAAAAAGTGTCCCTAATGCGTCATGATTAAAACCAAAATCAAGTTAATGGTGAACTCAGGGTTGACCTTGAATTTACAAGTGTACTGAAGCAGAGCTTTAGCTGTTGACTTTATACTGTCTGACTTCTGTTGTGTCTGATGCTTGTTAAATCTGAAACATACTGAATTTCAAGAGTGCTCTTCGTTGAAGAGATAAACAGTTGTACTGAGTAAGGGAGAGGTAATGTTTCCTCTAGGGTGCTGTTCTCTAAAAGGAATAGAAGCTTGCTTTGTTTTATAATCATGATTAGAAAAGTAGGAAGACTAATTATGGCGCAGATCAGCTGCAGCCTCAAGCCAGCGTTTCTTGTGGTGGTGGTAGTTTTGGCAGCCCGCACACCACCACCTTGGTTGTGGTGGTGCATCTGCTTTGGAGGCTGCATGGTAAATAGATGTGGTAACTTCTGTGGGTTAAATATAACTAAGTCACTATTTCTTCCTCTAGCTACCCCCACAAAAGACATGCAGGATTATATTTACCCAGATCTGTTCCCAATCTGGTTCACAATAATGTCTCAAAAGTGGCACAGGAACAGGCAGTCACTAGTTGAGGATGGACTTGCTTTATTCGTCCCTGCTTCTGAAAGAAGTTTCTCCAACGGTGCCTTCTATTTTCTCAGTGTGCAATACTCTTTTATGTGCTGGTGGTCTGGAAAACAACTGTTGAAACATCTCGCCAGTTCTCTAAAGTAGTGGAAGGGTTGCAAGTTCTGTTTGTTTGGGAACTGAGTGATTATTAGTTACTTTATCATTAATGGTCTTACTGTGGTGCTTGTTTGTAACTAAATGCTTCTGTTTAGGAACAAGGGCTTAGAAAACATCTGTTAGGTTGTGTTATGTCCTTTGTTATTTACATCTTTGCCAGGTTCCAGGTAGGTTTGTTTACAACTAGTGTATCCACATTGTGCTTGGGACTTGTTCTCAAGTCCACCAAAGTCAAATGGGAATGCTTTCCCTGTGTGTCTCCCTCTTGCCCCCCAGTTTTCACTTGTGGAAAGTGAGAGTTTACATTTGTGTTCAGAAATTCACCTAATGTTATTCAGGCCTTTAAACATGGAATTGCAGTGATATGAGATTTTTTTTTCCTGAAGTTTTGCTTTGTGTATGTGTATTTATGTAAATGCTGATCATCTGTAAAAAGCTGCCTTTTCTTGGACTACAGTAGTTGCATTTGTCTTTTGCTGCCAATATTTTATCTCAAGTATTTCCTAGTGAACCTAGAGGAAATGCTACAAACACTTCACTAAACAAACCTTTCTGTGCAAGCTGTGGAAGGTAGGTGTTTTTAGACATTGAAAACTCAGAAGTGTTGTATTAACGTGTTATCAAAGATAATTTGGCAAATTTTTTGACTGTCTGGAATAAATGAATATGGATGCATACTTTAGCTCTCAAAGATGTCACAAATTACCCACATCTTGCTTGTCAGATTTTGTAGTTTCAGTAATGACTCTTTTGATGCAGTAATACTTCTGATACAGCACTTGGTGCTGATAATGGTGGATAGAGAATTAAAATGACCAATCTGGCTTTGTTGTCCATACTCAAGGGTGTAATACTCAAGAAATAGAAGCAAACATGGTGAACATCTACTTGCTATGGATTGTAACGTTATTTTCCACTGTAGAAACTTATGACATTGCCCCTACTCTGTCATATTATAGACTCATTTTACTTGATTGTTTAAAACATTCACAGTACCTTTTTAAAAGTGTGCTTTCCTCTGAGCTTTTTATACTGCAGTGTTTGGATATATGTTGCTTTAGTTCCTCATAAGTTGGTAGGCTATTAGAAGATGATTGGAGAGTTTCACAAGAAAGTATTATGTTGGCTTAGATTACATGGTGTGTGTCTGTTGGGAAATAACTTAAAAACAAAAAAAATAAAGAAAAAAGAATGTTTTTTTACTGAAATTGTGTTTCATACATCATGTCAATGATAATTTACAAACCCTCATGGATTTCTCATTTATGGGTGGCTCATAATCTAAGTTTGGCCTTAGGAAGTTACTGCATGCTTTCAAGCTGGAATAACAGGAAAAAGTAGGTTTAAAAATAAATTGGATTCTAAGACTTTTTACACCTTTAGACATTGGCAGGCTGCATTAAGTATAAGATGCAAAATTATTATGTAAGGCAAGTAATTTAGACGGGAAGGAATTTACCAAAATCTACCCCTTAGTTCTTTTTGTATAAGCTGTTTCAAGGAAAGTTGTCTTCTAATAAAACCAGTCCTTAAACTAATTTATATTTAGAGAGCATCCTAAGGCTTTTGTTCCAATACATTGTACCATTGTTATACAAGATCTTAACCGCTGAGGCAAGCATTTTGTAGTTTAAAGATGCAGGTTTCTAACTCCCATCATATAAACCTATGGTGATGTGTCAAAGCGAAAGGACTGTGTGCTGTATGGAGCAAGCTTTGTTATTTCAGATGCACAGAAGTCACCCCCTGAGTAAGAACGGTGTCCAACGGCATCATTTGTGTTCCTGCAGAGGCACAGAGGCAATAGCCTTGGTGAATCAAGTTGGCTTCTCCACAGCGCTTTGGATGGCTGCCCATGGAACACTCACAGATGTTTTATAAATCCACACAAAAGCCATATACAGAGGAGAATAATTAGGTTTCTTGCCACCTGCTTTCTAATCTATTTCTCGGCTAGTTCAGGTCTTAAAATCTGTGTTCAGCATGTGAGAGGCACTGAAAGGCAGATGGGGAAACATACCTCAGAGTGTGCTTTAAATAATAGTATGTCTGGTAGTGACCTGTTGGGTTTCTCCAGTGAGTTATCTGTCTGTACTTGTGTAAGGCCTTTGACATGGCCCACCACAACATCCTTCTCTCTAAATTGGAGAGGTATGGATTTGATGGATGGACTGTTCTGTGGATGGGGAGTTGGTTGGGTGGTCATATCCAGAGGGTAGTGTTCATCAGCTCGATGTCCAGATGGAGATCAGCAATGAGTGGTGTACCTCAGGGGTCTGTGCTGGGGCCAGCACTGTTTAATATTGTCATCAATGACATAGTGGGATCAAGTGTGCCCTCAGGAAGTTTACACGTGACACCAAGCTGAGTGGTGAAATTTACATATCTGAGGGATGGGCTGCCATCCAGAGGGACCTGAACAAGCGTGAGAAATGGGCCTATGTGAACCTCATGAGGTTCAGCAAGGCCAGTTGCAAGGTCAGGTTGTGACAATCCCTAGTACCAATACAGGTTGGGGGATGAAAGCCAACTGTATTCTGGTCTGCATCAAAAGCAGTGTGGCCAGCAGGTCGAGGGAGGTGATTGTGACCCTCTATTCCACTCTGGTGAGACCCTACCTGGAGTACTGTGTCCAGCTCTGGAGTCCTCCATACAAGAAAGACATGGACCTGATGGAATGGGTCCAGCGGAGGGTCACATAAATGATCAGAGGGTTGAAGCACCTCTCCTATGGGGACAGGCTAAGAGAGTTGGGGTTGTTCAGCCTGGAGAAGAGAAAAGCTCCAGGGAGACCTTGTTGTAAGCCTGGTACTTAAAGGGGGCTTATAGGAAAGATGAGGACAAACTCTTTATTTTAGTAGGGCCTGTTGTGACAGGACAAGGGGTAATGGTTTTACACAAAAGAAGGTAGATTCAGACTAGATATAAGGAAGGGTGGTGAAACACTGGAACTGGTTGTCCAGAGAGGTGGTAGAATCCACCCTCTACGTTTCCCCCTCCCTGGAAACGTTCAAGGTCTGGTTGCTCAGAGCCCTGTCCCTTGCAGGGGAGATTGGACTAGGTGACCTTTAAAGGTCCCTTCCAAGCCAAATTATTCTATGATCTTTTTGTAGAACTCTCTTTTTAAAGCTGGGACAACTAGCTTTTGGGGTTGGTGACCAAAAGGGCAAAGGTGTGACTGTTGTGATATCCATATATCTGAAGCAAGCTGGAGTGGTCAGTCAGAACCTACAGAGCATGTGGAAGCACTGCAATGAATCCTGAGCAGTTCTTCCCCCTCTTGCTTCAAATGATGCCAGCT